GAAGTGACGTCACGCGACATTTCAAATCAATATATCTTCGAAACTATTCGTTTCCGTAAGAAAATAAAAAATACGTGTCTAATGTTTTTAAATAATCTACCAGACGGACATTAAAATAAAAATTAGTCGTCTACCCTATTGGTGTCAATCAGCTTTGGAGAAATATAAGCAGTAATGACATTCAGTTAGAGACTAGATATAGACATTCAGATGAAAGAAAATAATAGTTCGGATAAGTTTAGAGTTCTGTCTGAGTTTACATTTTTGTCAATATCAACTTTCCTATAACCCTGTGCCGTTAGCAGAAATGTAAAAATATCATATTTTATCAAAACTGCCACCCACAATATTACAGACTATCAGAATTTACATTTTGGCGTTTGCTGTTAGAGGTAATACCTACAAGACTATAAAGGTACAATACATTTAGTATATTAACACCCAATTTTGTGGATGATTGTAAGCTAAGAAAATAGGCGCGTGTAACAAGAGCGAGTATGAATTTTTATCAACATTTTGTGATATTTTCAACCATTTTAACAACCAATTTTTCATTTCTTGGTTTGTTAGATGACTGCCGTTCAAACCTCTTATGTGACAAGCGTATCGTAGCGTGTCCATCGTCAAAGCTTCCACTCCACCTTCCCTGATGATAGCTTTATCCATCTCCATCAACAGAAATGCTCTGTACTTCAATTTGTTCTTTCTAAATATTGTTCTCTTTAAACCATGCATTTTTAGCAGATGACCCTGGAATTTATAAAATAATTCACGTGTAAATATGTAAACATAATGGAATATTTTGTACACGGAAAATAGCTTTGAAAATAGTATGATGAAATCTATGCAGTGTGAGTTCACACCGCTTCAGCGCGTCATATTCTTAACTTGTAGTTATTATTGTAAGTAGTACATAATGAAAAATGTTACTGCATTTTAGATTATTAGATTTTTTATTAACAGAAGCCGAGCTATAAAAAGTTAGATGAATATTAAATTTTTTTAAGTAAAGAACAACACAACCTCGCTATAGATATTTTTACTACTAAAACGCATTTGCTATGCGTCTTTGTAGTTTGTATGCAATGGCTGATGACACAACATGCTTTCGCATTAGTTATACATAATAAAATAAACTACTCATAAAACTTATTGCATTAAAACAATTAACTGACAATTGACAGTCGGCTGCGCAACGTTCGCGATGTTATTGCTCAACGCTATTCATGAATATAAGCCCCTCGCATCGCTTGAAACTAGTCGAGCTACTTACTCAAACAATTACGTGGATAAGCCGTAAATCATAATATTTTTAATATGTCACCATAGCTACACATAATAATTAATTTATCTATTTATCAAAAGGTAATATGACATTTACACCAACTCTCCATAAACTCAAGTTAATGGCTTGTATTTAGTAGCTTCAAACAAAAATAGGTTGGTCATAGTCTTGCATTGAAACACGAATCTGATAACAGCACAGGTACCATTTTTATTAAGTATTGTTCAAGATAACAAACCTCGTTGGTAAATTACCATTGAAAAATGGCAATTTTTACTGTCGTCGATAAGCTATATGGTCAACATAAACAAAATACTCATATATCTAATTAGGCTAAGAATATTGGTAGGGAAAAAATCTGAGTTTATTTTTATTGTGACGTCTAGATTGATGCTTATATCTTGCGTGCAATGGTAGGTAGGTAGTTATTAAATGTTTTGTGAAATGTTGTTAAATCAAGGAATAACTATTAGGCGGATCATTTAAAAGCTACATAGTAACAACATACAAACTACAAGTTTTTGGACTAGTCGTCGCAAGCATGGTTGCCGAGCAAGGGGTCTGGGTTTCTATTATCAGCTGGGCAAAGCAATATTGAGATTTTTTAAAATTTCTCAATTATATTATGGAACCTGGCATTGCATCCGATGTATGATATTAGGGTTGCTCCCTATTACATGGGACATGTAATAACATGGCTAGTGAAATGTATGAGTTACATAGTTTATGTGCACACACCATCCCGTCTGTTCAGGAATTCTGAGTTCTGTTATGTTATGATTAAGAATTACATAATTACACATACAATTATTTACATTCTTATTTTACATAGCAAAGTGTGGCATTGGCAAAAACACTAACATAACATATTTTAAATACATTTGGTAATTTTCGTTAGAAGTTGTTTACAGATGAAATAAACATTCGCTTTCATAAAATTAGTATTTACGCATATAAGTATGATTAATATAACAACATTAACATAACATCACGCCTTTTATCCCCGAAGGGGTAGGCAGAGGTGCACATTGTACCACTGTACAATGTAACACCCACTTTTCACTATTTATGTTATGAGTTCCATGTAATAGGGGTGAGCCTATATTACATTAACCCACACGCAATATACAGAATTAACAAAACACAACCAAATAGGCAGATAAATAATGTAAATGCACAAAAAGGAAACAAAACAGATTGATTAGCATAAATTATTGCATTAAGTATAGGCAATATCATAAAATCTCTGTTTATATGTATCTCAACAAAGGGAGTATGCAAGCTATGAAGAGACTTAAATAATAGATAATACTCACCGCATGTGCATAGGTCAAATTGCTTAGTTCATAAGGTTCATTGTCAATAAACAATTGTTTACATGCTATAACATCTTCAGTTTTAGGGTGCACTCCGGAGCCAAGTAAACCTAAGATTCTCTTCCATCTATCCCTAACCTCACTATTTGGTATTGCATCTAATTTTGCCTGTAGAGCTCGGAACACAGGCTTATTATTCCGCAAGCGTTCTGCCAAATCTTGGGTTGAAAATTCTAATTTTTGTTGTATAGACCAGAAATGGGAGCACAGGAGAGTTCTTGGTTTTAAAAATCTGGAAAATGAATACACACTGATAAGATTATAGTTGAAGTATCACTACATAGTATAAAACAAAGTCACTATCCACCGTCTGCCTGTCCCTATGTATGCTTAGATCTTTAAAACTATGCAATGGATTTTAACGCGGTTTATTTTAACCTGTTGAAAACCATCCCCTAAATTTGTTCATTCAAAAGAAGTCTATAAATATTGGTCTATAATATAGATAGTGGAGAGCGGTCACCGGTGATTATTTGGGGATATACGAGTTAATAGATAGAATGATTCTTAAGGAAGGTTTATGTGTACAACACATGCATATTGCACCCATGTGAAGCCGGGCCGGGTCGCTAGTATGATATAAAGTACAGATAGGGGTACTATCTGTTACTATGTGTTTTTATAGCACACGGAGCAAATGAGCAAATTGATTTCCTGATAATAATAATTAAAATGTTAATATAAGAGCAACTCCCAAGAGATACAATATCTATTTTATGGGATAAGCTGGTAAAGGAGCAGACGGATCCAGATAGTAAGCAATCTGTGTCGCCCATGGGCTGAACACCAGAGAACACCAGAGTAGAAACTGCTGGTAATGCATTACAAATGTGTTACCAGCCTTTTGGGGATTACGAATTTGAAGATTGTTGGGCATTCAGGAATTGGGGAGATTGGGAAGGAGGGGGAGGTGGATAATTGAGCCTCTCTTAAGGTCACTCATATGATGACACACAACACAAGAGTAGTCTCATGACGGTTTTCAGTGACGTTGTGGTATCATTTTGGTCATACCGGCACATTCATGCTGAAGCATTGGTCTCTAAAAAGTGTTACTATTGTGTTGAATATCAATACAATGTTAGTCAAATGACAATTAAGTTTAATAATTGCAGGTGGAGTACTTACGCTAAAGGAAAAATTACATAGTTTCCAAAAGGAACAGCAGAAAGTATTAGAACAGGTGCTATTCTCCACATATCTGAAGGCATTTTTTGAAATAATTCAATCTCCTGCCTGGTCATTTTACTAAATCCTTTATCCTTTGTGATTTTGATTCGTAACGATATGTATGTTTTGAGATCTCGTAGAAAATCTTTGATGCCCACACTAAACACTCTGTACATTTTCACTGCAGTGGGGAATCTGTTTTCTAAGACATTCGTGTAGTTCTTGACATAGTCGATGTACCTCTGTACAACATATGTCCGTAATTTTTCTTTTTCGCTTTTTAGTACTTTTGTGTGTTTTAATCGGGTCGTTTGTAAATTGATTGTTGTGAAACATCTGGAAACAAATTATGATTGATGAATAAAAATAATGATGATGAATGATGTAATACTAACAAAATTTTAAATAATTTTGTAGGTAATTTATAAACTATTTATGTATATATTTTTTTAGAATTTGATGGATTATAAGCATGCTAAATGTGTGGCGTCAAGAAATAAGAATACTTCTTACAACCGTCGAGGCACTGTAGGAGGCCTATATGACATTAACAATAGGAGCACATTGGTAACGGCCTTGTAAAACGGTGCTCATTATATTCAACTTTCTGCTAATAGATTCCTTTGTAACACAAGACAAGTTAAAAATAAAAGTGATTTTGGCTTCAAAACATATTGTTTACGACTTGAAACTGCGTATTTATTAAAACGATTTGCTCACTTGTACTTGTTTATCTGATGGCATTTTGTATTAAATACGTAACTGGAGCGACTGCTCTGAAGTAATACATTAGATAAGGTTACGACTCGTTGCAAAGGCATCACGTTTATTAAGTTTTAAATAATTCAAAACAATTTTTACGATTTTATAACCAAATTCTCGTTCTGATAATTTTCAAAAGACGTATACTTTACGTCAACTGACAAGTGACAACTTCATGCTAATTCATTTTGACAACTATGACACTTAAAAATTATTCGTTCATTGAAAGGGTTGTCAGCATTCTGTTAAATTCTGTATAATAATACTAAGCAATAATGGTGCACAATTTTTGTGCATTTTTTGTTAATACAATATTAATAATGCTATTATACAAATTTACAATGTTTTTATAGTACAGTAAATTATTCATCAGAACTATTAGGTCCTGGTGGAAGTGCGGCGGCTGGTATTCGGTTTATTGTAGCACATTTACGCGGCTGATAACCACCGTGAGGAGTACTGCCAGGCTGGAGCCTGATTACAATATATAATAATATAGTATTATTATAGTCTTCAAGACGAAGTCGTTGATTATTTGTACAGGTAACTCAGTGATTGCCAGCGCAATCACTGAGTTTTAAAACACTTCTTAGCCTGCCTATTGAGTATCTAGTAGATTATATCGTGACGAACTAGTCAGCTGATTTTCCTTTTCATTCTCAGTACACGTGGAAAGAGATAGCAATTGTTTTCATTGACTAAGCGACACATCGCGCGTAATTTGTGAACCACATTATGCAGAGTAGAGTTAATGTTTACTGATTTTCAATATCTTCTCAAATTGAATTAGCTGGTCTGGGGTATAACAATTTATTCACTATTGTAATCTGTAAACACAATACTACCTCCCAATAAAGCCGTGGCAGATAATTATCACCTTATATATACCAATGGGTAAGTCAAGGTTTGTGCCAAAAGGCCCATAGGAGAATAGTATTTGATTATCACAGGATTAATCTATGTTAAAGTTATCTGCCGCCTAATAAATGCTATCTATTATGGCTTTAATATTTTGTTCAAAACTTGTGGCACAGACTTCTTACTGATGAGTGGGTCAGTAACATATCCATGCATATCACTGATAACAGCTACGTTTTGTTTTTAGTTTTTACCATATGTTTGCTTTTGGTTTGTGAAGGCGATTTCTTATAATAACAACATCGTGTTCTCGGAAAATACTGCAAAGTAGTAACCCGTATTTTTACAACATAATGAATAATTTCTGCGACTTGTAACATAGGTATTGTTAAAAAGGGTATCAATTAAGGAACATTTTAATATAAAACTAAGGTAAAATGGATTTCAGTATTTTTATAATACATTTAGAAGTTGAAAAATTTCAGACGTGTGAAGGATAAATAAAATTTTGGAAGCTGGTAAGTTTTTTGTGATAACTAAATATTTAGATTTAATAGATTCTAGAGTTTACAACAAAATTATTTATTATTTTAAACCAACAGACCTATAACGCAAATAGTTATTTTGTTTTAAAGGAAACATTTTGTTTTTTTTTTATTTTAATAAAAATAGAAACGAAGGGTTTACGGGTAAACGACATCTAATGACGACGACCTTACAAATACCTGAAAGAAAAAAAATGAGTCGGTCCATAAGAATAAGATAGCAACACTGTTAATGTCACACAAGTCAGCTTTCATTCATTCGTTCGAATAACGTTCACTGCTTCTGCCGGTGCGTAGTTCATTAACCTGAATGGTTTCAGATGGCGGGATTATGAAATTACTCCAAAATGTTATTATTTTTATTGTATTAAAACGATTGATTTTAAATAATTTCCTGTAATTACTGCAACCGTGACATGGTCAAATAATTTTATAAATTTTTTTTCCTGTTTTGTTATTGTAGTTTTTGTGGAATTCTGACATAAATGAAACGTGTTCGAATTCCTAATCTGTCATTTTAAAGAATAAATTGTTTTTACTATAAAGTACATTTATAACCATAATAGTTTTAGTGTTATAATATAAATCACATTTTCCAATCATGGTAATGCAATAGAAAATTGAGATGGAAGATAGAAATCTGTAAGAATTTAAATTATTAAATATACTAAGTAGTTACTACTACTCAGATATCTAATAATTGTGGCCGTTTAACGTTTATTCTATATTCATTTTATTTCTTTTTAACTGATTTAGATGTTGTCCTAAATGCAAAACTCCTAGCGTGGAAAACTTTAAAAAAGTTGTTGAACTTCAACAAGCTGGACTTACCATTTACGTTTACCCCAGAAGAGATACACAGGTATATAAACGACGACCCATGAACTTTTAATAAACACAAATATTTCAATTACGTGTTAGTTTTCTAGTTATCTTATTTGCTATTAAGGACCTAACATTATAAGAGTCCTTTTTAACTTTTAAACTCCCGCACAATGTCCTGATCGATGTTCTGTAGGCTGGCAAATTATTTCCCGACGCATCCCAGACGAGTAATGCAGTCGCGAGAGCACCGCCGGCTCGAGCGCCCGTTGCGCTTTGACAGCTAAGTTAAACCTATTAGCACGTGAATTTGTTTGTGAATATTAAACAGATGTGAATTATTGGTATCAGTTAGGACATGGAAAAACCTAAATGTGACGTGATATCTTTCATAGTGAAACACCTCAATAAACAAACATTCCCAGTAGAAGTGTTAGTAGACATTTGTTTAGAAAAGTTTTCCCAAGAAGATATTATATTTACAAGAAACATTGTAACAGACGCTTTCGGAGAAAAAATTGATTTGTCTAAACCGCGTACCACGGAAACTAAGAATATCCGACAGGATGTTTATAAACTTTTATTTTATTTAAGATTAGTTCCTTTCAATGAAAATAAAATCAAGGATTACACCAGAGCTATAGAGGAAAAAGCATTGTTAGCTCGATTGGATGGTATGAGCCAGTTGGTTAATGATTTAACCGGCTTAATGAGCGGCCCGAGTGAAAAACAGGCAAACATGCAGTCTCAAGAGCCATCTCCCAAACCAGGCCCAAGCAATGAAGGTGCCACATCTTCGCTTCACGCCTCCGCTGACCAAGAAATGCAACCAAGTAGCTCTTTTATGAATCAAAATTTTCATTCTTATGCGGACCGTACGCCGCTGGGGTACATAGACGACCATATGGATATCGAACTTGAAGAAAATGAAGAGAAATCAGATTTCATTCAGGAAATTACGCAAAGAAAATTAGAGCTAATGAGGAAAAACCAGGCTAAACTTCAAGAAAACTTAGAACGTTTACCTCCTCCCCCCGTTCCGCTATCTGACGGGCTCAGGGTCAACACCGTCGAGAGTGCGAATGATACACTCAATCTTGTATCTTCTATCGCACCCACATTGAGCATTGGCACTCTTAGGGTGAATTCCCCCCTAGTTCTTGATATCACGAGTCAACCCACGGTTCATGTACCGTGGTCACATCCACCATCAGCAATAGCCACCCAGCCTCAACGTCGTACCTCAGGTGAACCTCCACGAAGGTATGATTTTGACGCACTAGCGCAAAGAGCTTTCAACCAGCTGTATAGGCTTGAAACTGAATCGTCAGACTCTAGTTCATCGGATCGTAATTCGTCGGATAATAGTTCGTCGGACCCTAGTACTTCATCGGGTTCGTCGGGTCTCAGTTCATCGGATCCAGTCGAAGATGGATTATCCAGTCTAAGTACGGATAGCAATCTCACAGTGTCTTCTGTTGACAGTAGCTTACATGAGGAAGCACAGGTGCTGCTAAATAGCTTCCCTCCTACCAACGGTCCGAGGTTAATAGCCCCAGGAGTAGCTGCCCCACGTCCCGCGGGTCATCCAGTCCATGAATTTATAAGACCCGCTGATCTCTGGGGCCCACCTCTTGCTGTCAATGAATTTGTGCTCCGAGATTCGGCAGCTGCTCAACCACCTTCTGACGATGAGAGCTCTGATAGTAACATTTCTGAAACGCAGCCTAGCCCAAAAAGGCGCCGACCAATGGAGTGAATTATTACTTAAATAACCTCGTGTATAGTTAGATGTAATTATATCTAATTATTGTAAGATTGGTTGTGTATTTTTGATTGAAGTTGGCGATTGATAACAAAAAATTACGGTACCTATATATTATACACAACCTTCATGTGATATGTGGCTCTAAGGTCAATTAAAGATATATTTTTTTATTATATATACATTATACCCTTCTACCCAATAAGTTAGAAAACTAATTTATTCTATGTCCTGGCGGTTGAGTAAACTCTAAAGTATAATATTTGGAATAGAATGAGAAAAAAATAAATAAATTGAATTACATGCCAACCCACTCCTCCCGCACTGATTTAATTTTGTATTGTTAGTAGATATTTTTTAAACCCATAATCAAACTATACTAAAATTAACTGATCATTCATAAAATGGAAAGATACACTTCTACTTAGTTTCTTAACAAGCTTTGAACGACAGGGCTTTATTATAATACCTATCTAAATTTTGTATTATTAGACAGAAAACTAATAAGAAGCATGTTTTTATTTCACTTAAACATTAATTATTTTAAAAGGAACTTTACTAATTCAATATTATGCACTCCTAATCCTTATTCAAAAATATTACTAATTACAAATGTACGCATAATGAAGTATAACTTACATTCTTTCATTCACGAGAATTATACAATAATGTTGTAATGAATTATCAATTAAGGTTTAAAACAATCATTTATATCATTGTCCTGTGCCAGAATCGAAATTTATTCATGAAATGAACTAATATATTATTTACATATATTTAGATAGACATTAACCAATTGTAAACTTCGATTTTCTTATTGAGACTCAATATTTTCTAGTTTCTTTATAAGTACCTATTCAGTTCATTCCCTTGAAATTATTTTCGTATATTAAAAATTTATGTACATATTTATGTATCGTCCCATAATGTAAACAGTTTCTAGTTTAAGAATCAATGAAAGGTAATTAAAATGGAAAAGTGTTATCTGAATGCACAGAACTTCGTGCTTATTGATAATTGAAAAACGACTTTACACGTATGAAAATTGGGACGCATTCAGATTACTTTGAGATCGTGGTAAAATATTATAAGTCGTCGTTAGATTAAGATTATAATCATAAACATATAGTTATTATAGGTTTCACATACGTATTTCT